TGCTCAAATGGAGTGAGACCGGATCAATTTTTTAGTCTATTATTGGCATGTGTTGTTTTCTGGATAACTGAAATTTGAATGTCTCAAGTATATATTTTACAAAACTATCATGCATTTTAATTTTTAAGTTAATTTACATATAAACAGCTGTATCTAATAGTTTATTTTAATGTTAATTTGTAAAAAAAGCAACTATCTCACCTTACTCTTTTGTGATCCTGTCTGAAGATTTTGAATTTACTATACCATGCTAACCAGTTCCTTATCACAATGGTTGACAGTATAAGGTGATAACTAATCAGATTGACACCCAAAGGAAGAAGGTAAAAGTAGCTAACTTATTTCGTTAATAATCTGTTCTTCAGTAGTTGGTTGACTTTATTTGATTATTGAAATTCATTTTATTTTTTTTCAGTTTAATAACGAGAAAGAAGTACACAACAGACTCGTGCGTGACTTAGTATGTATTTTAGCATACGTTTCTGTTGATTTTAAAATATATGTAATATGCTTCATAGCTTATATATAAATATGTCTTGTAATTTTATTGATTATGTAATTAAATTAAAGAAATATTAATTCTGAAATGACAATTGTTTTATTGATTATTAAAGGAAGCAAGAGCGGAAGATCCACGCTTTGGAATGATAGACAATGGAGGGGAGTATGATTCTGTCATTGGATTCTCAAATATTGGTCCAAGGATGTTTGCCTTGAGCCTACAGCCTAGCCATCCTAATGCCCATGACGGAGCAGGGTCTGATCTAACCACTTACCCGTTACTTTTTTAGTGCGCAAGCTCTCTAATTAAGAAATACCAGATTCACTTTCCAATAAAATGACTATTTATATGTTACTTACTCTTTAAAATATGCACCCTTCCAGTTTTTATATATGTATTTATAAAACACTGTCATGAATCTTTTCCATCCAAAGGCATGTCTGAATTAAATTGCAAACTCATGAACTGTTTATCTGACTGTTGTTTGGCCTAATCATACCAGAAATTAATATGATATGATGCTTCCTTGGACTGAATGAGAATGCTAGCACGGTCAGTGTTTTATATATAAAGTGTTTGGATAAGCTTTAAAAAAATTGTTTCTTTAATTTATTATTTCTTTAAAAAAATATTCTTTTTTTTTGGTAAGCAAAAAATATTCCTTTTAATTTATGAACAAAACGTTTAACTTTTTTTTGTAAAAGAAAATATTTATTTAATTATCTTGCAATTCTTTAGGCATTTTTTTATTAATAAACGAGGTACTGGTCGTAGTTAACGTTCAGTTAAATTGGTTGCATGTTGTGAGTACCAAATAAAAAATAAAAATTGGTTGCATGTTGTATAGCCAGTAATTGATTTCTTATAATAAACACTATATTTCCAAAAGATATAATAAATATCAATTTAATAAACCAAATAAAGTTGACATCAATTTAGCTATTTGATTACAAAAATTCCATTAACTTAGTTACATTAATTGTAAAAAAATGGTCATGAAAGTGTTTAGACATTAATTATCTTGAAATTCTTTAGACATTAATTGTATAGCCGTTCGAAGTTAAGGTGTTTTGAATTGAAAAATATACATTAATTTATTCATTAAATCAATGACTTTAATTTTTTTTAATAATGTAATAGAAAAGAACGATTTTGATGTTATTTGAAAAAAACTCAGTCATTCATTCAGAAATTAAAGATTAAAATTTAAATGAAAAAATTCATAAAATGAAATAATAAAAAATATTACTTTAACTATTAATAACCGTCGATTTGTAAATAAATGACTAATTTTTTTTTACATTATATAGTCATGTTAAAGCAGGACAAAAATCCATTGCCATCACATTTTTTATAGTTGATTTAATATATATCACCAATACATTTGATCAATAAAATAAATATTTACTCTGATATATTATCAAGTTTTTATTTTATATACTCCTAGCTAGAAAATTCTATTTATACATTAAATCAATTTATAAGATTTGTTATTATAAACCCAATATAAGAGCTCGAATATTACGATATTTTTTTTTGGTAAACCGAATATTACGATATTAACTTGGTATAAAACTCTCCTTAATATCTATATTTAAGGGTTAAAGGGTTGTTGTTTGGTAAATAAGTCGTAATACGATTTACGAGTCCAATACATATAATTAGAGAAAATATAATTTAAGCCAATAGACTGGTCTAGTGGTGGAGTTTGGATAAGTTGTATTAGAAAATGTGTTCAATTCTCACTTGTATATATATGAAAAACATAATTCCTTTTAACATGATAGAACATTGATTAATATTGTAATTTCTTTTACGTATAATTTCCTATACGTATAATTCATACTCCTATTTGGGTAATTTAGGGGCAACAAAACGTGTCAGTGGTTGGGTTCTTGTCGTGTTAAGGTATGATCTGCGAGTTAAACTGTTCATCCCGAACACGACCTGTTTTTGTTTATGGGTTGAAAATTAAAACTCAGACGCAACCAGCCACGGGTCACACAATTTGACCCGTAAAAATAAAAAATTGATCTTTTCTAAAAAAAATTAAAAAAGGGGAAAACTAAATAAAATATATGGGTTGAGCCGTGACCCGGAATTGTGTCAAAATCATCAAAATATAAACTTTTTTTCTAACCAAAAACTTTTGCGAGTTGACACGCGAGACAACCCATGACACGACACGACATTCGTGTCATTTACAAAATGTTATATCACACAGGTCAACATGACCTGTATTCTGACGTGTTGTGTTGTGGATCGACCCGCGGATCATGAACATTTTGTCATCCCTATTGGGCATATTGATATGTGATTGGCAAGTTATTAAGTTAAAAATGAGAATGAATGTGAGGCTATTTCAATTATTAATAGACAAATTAGCCATTACATTTTTTTATCATTTATCTTAATGGCTCGTTTGGTGGACATGATAAGATAAGAATTGATAAGATAGAAGGGTTGAATAAGAGTAATTTTGTGTTTGATGTGCAAGCAGTCTGATAAGATAATGTTATCTTATCAGGTGTTTGAGGTGAACCATATAATGTCATGTTATGACATAACTAGATAAAAATGCCTCTTTAATAGGATTTCATATGATTTTTTAAAATTGATTTTTAAACTAACTTTTTACTTATTTACATATTATTTCTTATTTTAAATTTTTAAAAAATCTAAAAGTTATAATTTTAAATAAAATATATAAATATTTTTCAATTTATTTAAAATATTAAAAATTATATCCTCACCGAAATAAATTTTTAAATTGATCGTCAATATTGGTGGCCGGTGCCTAGTGACAGTGGTGGGTGGTGGCGGTGATAGTTGGTGCAATGGGTGACCTATTAAAATGGTGGTGATATTAGTTATAGAGGCATGTGGCAATGAGTGGTGGTGATACCGACAGTAATAACAAGTGACAATTGTAGTGATTGATTGATGATGGTGATGGTTGGAGGTGCTAGTGGCTAATGGCAACGAAGGCGATGGTGGTAGTTGTTGGTGCGGTGGTGGCAGGTTGAAGTAGTGGTGGCGGCGACACCGACGCTACAGGTGGCAGTTGTGGTGGCAGTAGACGATGGTAGTGGTGACAACGATGGTTGGTGCTTGGTGGTTAGGGGCGGTGGCAGTGATTGGGGGCTAATTAGTGGTGGTGGGTGGTTAGGGGTGGTTGTAGCCGATGACGATGGTGGCCATAATGGGTGGTAAAGGTGGCTAATGGCAAGTAGTGACGGTTGGTCAATGACAATTGTTGACCCTCATATGGCTAATAATGTTCATAGGGGAAGAGCATAAGGTTATATTTGAAATGAGGAATGTGATATTTGCTATCTTACCTTCTACTTTCCTAACCCGAGTCCCCTTTTATAACCCCAAAGTCGCCTTCGGCATCTAGGGGTCGTGGATCGACCATAGAACCCTTTTCAAAAAGCAGAACGCATCAGCTATCCGCTCTCAGATTGGACAGTAAGAGTTGGAGAAGAACAATAACTCATTCTAGGATAACTTATCCCATTGTGAACATGATAAAATTAGCTAGTATGATAAGCTCATCTTATCCGATCCTCCTTATTTTATTGACCAAATGGGCGCTAAGATTTTATCTCGTGATTTGTTAATTTATGGAGGACTGGGGTCATCTTAAATAATTCAATTATATTAAATGAGATATGACAATATTAATAACATGTCAAAATAAATGGAATAAAATGGTCAACTCTAAAGGAAACGTAGACATTGAATCCCCGTTATGTGTATGGTTTGAAGAGCTTGCCGTAGAGGCTCACGAGTTAGAGGCTTTTGATGTACTTTTTTGTAGTAGAATGAAATTCTTTATTGGGTGTATTAAAAAACAAAAGCAAATGAAATAATTTGTAGAGAACAATGTTTTTGAAATATATTATTTTAAATAAAGATATAATTAATCAGAAAATAATAAAAACGATAAGGATAGAATGAATGAGCTACATGAAAAAAATAGAACGAACGACTTTTGTAATTTTAATTGATCAAAATGATATTTTATCTTTTTAAGATTCTCTTTAAATAAAAATTTTATACTATCAATTTATGAATCTTAAAAAAAAAAAAAAAAAAAAACTAATTCTATTAGGATAGGCCAATCTTCACATGAGTGTGGGTATAAAACCTCCGACCTGGGCAGGAAAAGTAACGGTAAGATAAAGCCGTAAAGGGAAGTGAATGACAGACCATTTTTTTAATGTATAAAAATATTATTATATGTTGATTTGATAACATAAATTGATAGAGATGTAGATATGGGAAATCTAAAGATTAATATTTATAGGTATTTATGAGGTTAATTTACATTAAAAAAAATGAGATGATTGAAACGGAATCGTAAATCATATTTTGCTATTTAAAACTTAAAATCTTACAAAAAAGAAGAAGAAGAAAAGAAATACCGGTTCATCCGGATGCGGTGGGTTGGGTTTTATTAGTGGCGTCGTTTTAAAAAGACTAAAACCCTTTCGAGCGTTGCCATTCCAAGAAACGCACGAGTGACATTCACAAGGGGGTTTTGTGTTGAGAGTGACAGAGAGACAACGAAGAGAGTGAGTGACACAGAGACACACACAGAGTGTTTGTGTTAAGCCATGGGAGCTCTTGCTTCATTCGTCCCTTGGACTCCCGAGGACGATCTTTTGCTCAAGAACGCCGTTGAGGTTTTTTTTATCCTTTTCACTTATACCTCTCATTCTCCTTTTTAATTTATTATTTACTCTTTGCTTTCGATTTTTCTCTCTTGTTTTCTTGCGCTTCCTTTTCAAGAATCGAAAGCCTCTGTTTCACCTCGCTTTAAGGAATGCCTCTAACAATAATAATAATCGAAACCTTGGAACTCAATAATAATAATAATAGGTCTCTGGCTAGGTACAATTGGCGCCTACATGATTGTTTTCCATGTACTATGGTTTGAAGTTTGAACTGCCTCGTCTGTCATTCACAAACCAGAAATCAGTGTCTCAAGGGATTTTATTTTAGATTACCACCGATGTGTTAACTTATTTATTGCACAGTCCTTTTATTATATTACCTTAGAAAATGATTAAATGTGTATTAATTGGGGTTAACAGTCCTAAAGACAATAAGTCTTTGATATGTTGAAGTCAAAAGTTGCGTGTGTGGGTGTATATCTGAATTGTTGGATGTTTATGCTTGTTTAGAGACAGATAATAGGAGCTCTGAATTGAATAGATTTATGTTGTTTTCTTCTGGTTTTCGTTGTAGAGACAACCATTCCAGGATTCATGTTTAAACTAATCATTATTATTATTTTTTTATTTGCAGGCCGGTGCTTCCTTAGAGTCACTTGCGAAAGGTGCAGTGCAGTTTTCTCGAAAATTTAATTTTAGAGAAATACAAGATCGATGGTATTCTCTCCTCTATGATCCTATCATTTCTGCACAAGCCTCTGGATATATGACAAACTTTGAGCTTTCTGCTTTGCCTCACTCATCAAGGATCGTCAAGTTTGGACATTCAAAAGATCGTAAAATTGATGGTGTTAAGAGGAAAGCTGAAAGTGTTCGCACTTGTTATTATGCTATGCGTAAAAGATTCCGCAATGAAGCTTTTGCTTCCTTGGACTTAAGTTTTCTCGCTGATCAACAAATTGGCAATTATGCAGTGAATGGAAGTGGAAGCGAGCCTTTACCTGAAAACTGTATGACCGAAGGTGCAAACTCGATTCATTTTTCAAATCTTGATCCTGCACACTATGCTTTTCCTGAAAATGTAATGGATGGCTGTGTTGCAACTAATGGAGTTACTGCTCATCCCTTTTACGCTGGAGTTGAGGATCCAATCGAAGAGAATTTCCCCATGGAGCAAAAAATTATACTTAAGGAAGAATCTCAAATTCTTGGAAATAATGTGTCTTTGAATGGAGCCGTTGAGGATGTTCTAAAAGAATTGGCTACAGATAGCTTGAATGGAGACGATAGTTTAGATAGAATGCCTTTGTCTGCATTTAATCATATCAACAATGACCCTGGAAATTTGTGTTCTGTGTTTGATGGAAATCATGTATTTGATTCACCCAAGTTAGAGTGCGGAACATCATTTAACACCTTACAGTTATCTCCACTTCCTGAAATGCCAATCTGGAGAACAGATGAGAGCATTCAAGAACCCGATATGCCATGTGATGGTTTTGAAGACTCCATTGCTTGCGGGGATGCTTATCTGGCAGAACTGTCCAATTCTCTCTTGAACTTCAGTGATGAGGAAGAACTCTATCTGATGGACCTTGATGGAAAAGATGGGATTGACAAGTCTTTTTATGATGGTCTGAGTTCACTTTTACTGAATTCTCCAAATGGTGTTAGTCCAGATCAGATACCTGAACAGGCTGAAACCGGGTCGTTAGTCACCTCACAGGCACATGTTACAAATCAGTCAGTTTCATGTCATGCAGAAGTAGATGACAATCCAGGGTTGCACTCTAGTGGTGTACAAGTTGTTCACAAAATACATTTCCAAATGCCATCTTCTGTCTCAGCTAAAGACCCTCTATTTCCTGAACTAATTAATGGAGTTATTTGCTGTACATTAAACACTGAGGACCCAGAAGTTCCATCCAATGATGATGTTTTCCTACCCTTTGATGTGCCTCCTTCAACATTTTCCTTTTTGTCTAAATCAACTTTTAAAGAATCCAACAAACCAATTTCATCATCTTTTCAGGATTATGGATTCAGTAACCATAGAGCTAGTGAAAGAGATAAATTGTTGATGCATGTAGAACAGAAAAGCCCCGTAGAATCTCATGCATCTTCTCAGATGATGGGATCTCCTTGCTTCCCGGGACCTGTGGATGATTTTAAGGTAAAATGTGAGTTTACCAATAGTCATGCATCACACAGAGTGTCTAGTAGTGGTGGCTTTGGTGAAAATAATTCAGTAAACACAACCAATGCTCTTATGCATGCAAATCCCAAGGAAGAGGCTAGCAATGTTGGCTCGGTAAAGCATCTAAGCAATCATGTGACAAATTCTTTCATCAAGAAACCAGCCCTCGGTTCTAATGATTTCAGAAATCATCCTCAAACTAATGGCTTTAACATAAAACTGGAACAAGATGTAGCCTTGCCACTTCAAGATCATCAGTTGCAACATGCTGAAGCGGGATCCTCTGATGTTCTTGAGTCAGAGCTGGTGGATGAGGAAGTGCAATATATAGAGAGTGATGATGATGTTCCTTATTATTCTGACATAGAGGCAATGGTAAGGCTTGTTGCATTGAACTTTTCAGTCAACAGTTAGCTTTACCTTATTCATAACTGTTGCTATTCTTTCTTCCCTCCTACAGGTACTTGAGATGGACTTGGATCCTGATGATCAGGTTTTGGATTATAATGAGGAAGGTATTATGCCGACATGAATCTTGATAATTTTTTCTTGCTCTGTGTTATTTGTCATCCTTTTTTTTCATTTATTGGAGAAGAGATACCTAGTATGAATTAATGACCCAACCAAATAGCATTCTATTTCTTGTTGATTTTTGGATGCTGCCTCATGGTATGGGAGCATGCTTCAGTTACTTGGGCAGCTTATAGCCTCTCAGGGCTCAGTTTGCTTCCTTATGGTTGCCTTTCTTTTTTACTAGATGTCTTCATACATTGCTAAATAAAGATAAAATGTGGTAGACCATTTTTATTTTTATTTATTTATTTTTGGTTGGGGGGGGGGGGGGGGGGAGTTTTTTTTGGGGTTTTTTGAATTCCAAGAGGTTGCAAAATTTTAATGCTTTTTCCAGTGATTTTCAGTTATTAGGTAAAACTCCAGAAGCTTTATTATAGTACAACTTACATGCTGTTATGTTATTGTCATAGTTAAAAGATGCATATGTTTCGTTATGGTCCAGTTTTGCCATTGGGGTGGGTTTTGACTTGTGCTTTGTGGACCAGACTTTATGTCATCATATTTTATGTGCGATCATGGATTCTGCTAGTCAGTTGCTTAATATATGGATTTTGTGGAATATTTACCAAATATATGCATAGCATCTGCATGCTTTTGTGTGCGTGTGTTTGCCTTGATCAACTTATATCCATCAAATATGCTTGTTCAACTCGTTTATTATTTTGATTACATTCTTTATATTAAATATATCTAAGATCAATGATATCATATTAATCTTCATTGTTCCTTCCACTGTATTTTCTTTTATTATAGCCTGACAATGTATATTCTTGTTACTATTTAGTATCAAGATGTAAAGAACCACTTCAACTCAAAACCTTAAGGTGTTGGGTGAGGGCCTTTTTAATTGTTTATATTATTCTCTAACAAGAGATCTACATGAGGAAACTACGCAAGCTATCGTAAGGCTGGAACAGGGTGCTCATTCTTGTTTGCAGAAAGCCATTTGCTTCACATGGATCATGGATTCTGCTAGTCAGTTGTTTAATATATGGAATTTGTGGAATATTTACCAAATATGTGCATAGTGTTTGCATGCCTTTGTTTGTGTGTGTATGGTTGCCTTGATCAACATATCCAATAAATATGCTTGTTTAACTCATTTATTATTTTAATTAAATTCTTTTGTGCTAAATACATCTAAGATCAATGATTTCATATTAATCTTCATCGTTAAATCTTCTATTCTATTTTCTTTTATTATATTCTGACATTATATATTCTGATTACTTTTTAGTATCAAGGGATGAACACGAGCAAACTGCACGAGGTATCCCAAGATTGGAACAGGGTGCTCATTCTTGTATGCGGAGAGGCATTGCTTCACACGGAGCATTTGCCGTTTTATATGATCGCCACTCAAGGCATTATATTAAGAAACCTGAGGTATTTGAGCACGTAAACTCCTTATTGATCTACTTATCATCCGAGAGTTTTCCTTTGATTCTTTTTCGAATATTTAAAGCATAACAAGCACATGTTATTTTGTGTAATAACTTTGCTACCGCTAAAAAATCTCACATGCATATTGTGTGTGTGTGAGTATATATATATATATATATATATAGGTACAGTACACACATATATTTGGTTGTTTTATTTAGATTGTGTTTCTGACTGGAGGCAGAGTGATCTATAGCATAGTAGTTAATTGCTCCACGAGCCGCGTCGTATTGGCGTTACGGTGTCTCGTCGCAAGAAACCGTGCCACGCCGCACCGGAACGCAATAGCGGTCATTGCTATCATATTTGTGGCCAAATCGTGGCCATATTGCTTTCTTAAGACTAAATGTCAATTTTGTCCTAAATTTAAATGTGTTAACAAAATTTCTAAGGTTTTTTTAGTCTATCTGCATCTCTCTCTGTCACTTTTGCTATCTCTGCCTTTAAAAAATGTTTTTTTTTTGTCATTATTTGTGTCATATATCTATTCCGCTATTTCTGCAATCGCAACCGCAACCAGCTATAGCGTTTTTCGGGGTTGGCCGCGACATGCCGCAATCCGCATTTGATAACTTTGATCTATAGTTGTGCTTATGGTTTGATTTTATGACAAAAACAATCAAGGAAGTAGTAGTTGTCAGTTGTGCTTATGTTTTTTGTTTTTGTTTTTATATTTGAAAGAGTAAAGGTGTTGTTGATGTTGATGTTGATTTGAAAGAGTAAAGATTTTATGTGAATGTGTGATAGAATCTAACTGAAATTGATTGTACAAATTAATTTAAGACATTTGACAATGCTTTTAAGGATGGATTCATTCGTCCTGCAGGTTTTACTTGGACGGGCAACAGAAGGTGTTTCCGTAGATATTGACTTGGGAAGAGGAGGAATATCCCGACGTCAGGTTAGTTATATTTCCCAACTTTGACTTAAATGTTCATGTCACAGCAACTTTTTTGCTGTATTTTCATTGATTCCGATAAAGACATGCATAATCTACTTCTCATTTTCAAATTTGAACGACACAGTGTTCCCATAAAGAAATCAGTTATATTGTTCTAATCACCTCAATATGCTTTTTATAAAATAAAGTAACTCTTTACTCGGTCTTACTCATGGGATCATATGGATCGTACCTAAAACGGCCTTTTTCTCCAAAATTTAGCTTCAAAGAGAAGTCAATTTCTTGTTAAGAATCTTTTGGAGCAAGAATTATGAATAGATACTATTTATAATAGTGTATGAAGGACCTATGTATGCTCAAATGCATCAGGGTTATTCATCTGATGATAGGGTCAAAGTTTCTAGTTGTTGCGTGCATACTGTAATGACCATTCTACTTAAAATGTTCGGCTGATATACTATAAATTCAAATGTTAGGAAGTTTTTATTATTATTTTTTTAATTTGTAGTTTGTGACATTATAAATTGGGTTGTATACGTCTGGGTATTGTCTTCACCACCAAATACAAGTTGACTTCAACATATTAATTATGCTTTCCACTTGCTAACTTTTAGGCAATTATAAAGATGGATAAAGATGGATCTTTCTACATTAAAAACTTCGGCAAGAGTTCAATCCTGGTAAATAACAATGTAGTGCACACTGGTCAATGTCAAAGACTACATTGCAATTGTCTGATTGAGGTATGGTCCTATAGCTCTCCTTTCAAATTTGGTTGATTAGCACAAGTGGCCTCATTGAGAATTATCTAATAGGAAGTGATTTTTTTCTTTTAAAAACAATGGAGACTAGCTCCCTACAGGCACAAAAAAGTGCAGAAACTAAAAGATAAATCATAAATCTAGAGTTTCGCAAAAGCACGGAACCTCTAGCCCAAACTCTAACACCCCGTATATATCCGGTGATGTTATCATACTATCGTATTAAGCAGCGCTTAATTAAAAATGCGGAATATCTTTTTCTTTTCAATTATGATGTCATTATCATTACCAATTTGCTTATTAATCAGTTAATAAAACATTGCCTGTATGCAATTGCAATAAAACAGCTAACTGAAAATACCTCATAACATAGATAATAAAAGTGTGGCTCTAGTCACGGAACTACAACAACGTAGACCGGACCATCCAACAGTTTATACAACTCCAATCTAAAAGTACTAACATAAAGTGTCATGGACAATCCCCATGCTCACTCAAATAAGGCAACACGCCCAACATCAGTCTCAACAACAACATAATCATAAATAGCGGAAAACATAAACAGCATCTATATCCAGTCATGACAGCAATACAACATAATATCATCAACTAAGCTCTGGCCTCCTGCCGCCAGAGGCATTAGTCACCAAACTACCGGAACCTGAAATAAGCATTCCCCAAACGTGGGGTGAGATCTCTAAACAAGAAATCTCAGTAAGACAAGGGGTCCTCAAGGATCTTCCACCCCAAGCTCACTTACATGTGCAATATAAGTTTAAAAGCAGTTCATCAATATCATTTCTAAAACAGTGCAATGCAGCAGATAATCATGCCATGTGTGTCAATTCTATTCTACTGGCCAGAGAAATGCAGGATTTATATACGTCTAATACCCACAAATAGTGCAAGACGCTACTTGCATCCACCCCGGATCCGTCTTGTATGACGCTACATACTCAGGCTTACCGTCAAGATGGAACAACACATGCATATTAAAAGCCATTACACATAAAGCTCAACAGCATTTCAAAATATCCAAAGCATGTAACACAGCATGTATATAACCAGATCCCCATGGGACATGGTGGAACCACAACATGGCTAAACCGAGGACACGAAAGCTTACCTTGTAAGCTACTATCCAATGCCAAGAGTCCACACAAGTTCAAGGCCCACAAACAGCACAATCACAATCTGCCCATGCCATAATAATCATCAATAATCATTGCAGAAAATCAGAATCCAAACATGTTTCCGTTTTTATTTCCTATTAATTAGGATTGATTATGATTGATTAGGATTGATTGTGATTGATTAGAATTGATTGTGATTAGGATTGCTTAGTCATCGCTTTGTCATTTTTAGCGATTCTTTCTTGTATAAATACTCACTCATGTAAATTATTCAAAATCAATATACAGAAACTTCTTTTCAATATGGTATCAAGAGCGGGTTCGTTCCTACCCTAATTCAAATCTGAAATAACCATCCAAACACTTCCATCACCGTCAAACACCTCCTAAACACCTCATTGAATCTGTCCAACACAGAAACCTAGTCTACTGACCTCCGATCAAGAAAGTGAGGTGACCATTCGACTCAGAAGGATCCGACGAGTCGACCGCCGCTGGACCCATCGCCGTCCACCGCCGCACGCGCAGCCACGCGCCGTCACACGCGCGGCCAGTTTCCGGCGCGTGAGCTCCACGCGCCGCCTTCCCAACGTCTTTTTCCGCCGCGACTTGCACAGACCTTCTCGCCGGCTTCTCCCTTTCCTGTTCCAGAGGTCAGATCAAAAATTTACAAAACTTGATTTTTCATCAACGGTCAACCCTTCTCTTTCTATTCATGGCTTCCTCAAAACACTCTTCCTCTTACTCTGATGGTGTCTTTCTTAGCAAGACTAAGTTTGAACAACTTCAGAGACTTTTGACTCAACCTCCTAAGGCCACTAGTCATGTGGTCCAGCAAGGTACAGCTTTCCATGTTGATAGTCAAAATCATTGGATCATTGATTCTGGAGCCTGATCATATGACAGGTAATCTTGGCTTGTTTTGTTCATACACTCCATATTCTGAACCTTCTCGGGTCAAGATCGCCGATGGCAGTTTTTTCCAGATTGCGGGACACGGAACCATTAAACTTTCTGAGCTGATTACTTTGACATCAGTTCTTTATGTTCCTTCTCTGACTTGTAATCTCATTTCTATTAGCAAGCTCACCTCTGAGTTGCATTGCTTTGCTAAATTCTTTCCACATGGTTGTGTTTTTCAGGAACAGGACTCGGAGAGGATGATTGGCAGTGCTAGAGAGGATGGTGGACTTTACTACTTTGAGGAGGATGTGACTCATGAAGCTGTTTTCGTAGAAAAAAACTCTATGTTTCCTTTTGATTCATGTAATGATGTTATGATGTGGCATCGTAGGCTAGGCCATCCAAATTTTATTTATCTTCAGAAGTTGTTGCCAAACTTATTTATTCATAAAAGTCCAAGTTTGTTTTCTTGTGATATTTGTCAACTTGCCAAGCATACTCGTGCTCATTATCCTTCTAAAGTTCACCATGACTCTTCCCCATTTTCCTTAATTCATAGTGACATATGGGGTCCAGCCCGTGTTAAAAATATTTCAGGTACTCGATGGTTCATTACCTTCATTGATGACCATTCTCGAGTCTGTTGGGTGTATCTTCTAAAGGATAAGTCCGATACTGCATCCGTGTTTAAAAAATTTCATGCCATGGTTCAAACCCAATTCCAAGTTGCTATACAAATTCTTCGTACAGATAATGGCAAAGAGTATTTTAACTCTATTCTTGGGGAATATCTTTCCCAACATGACATCCTTCACCAAAGCTCGTGTCCTGACACACCCCAACAAAACGGAGTTGCGGAAAGAAAAAACCGACATCTCCTTGAAGTTGCTCTCCTTGAAGTTGCTCGGGCTCTTATGTTTACCACGAGTGTTCCTAAATATCTTTGGGGAGAAGCAGTTCTCACTTCCTCGTATCTGATAAATCGAATGCCATCTCGCATTCTGAAATTTCAGTCTCCTCTTTCTAGTCTTGTTCGTATCTTCCCTTCCTTCCGAGGTGTCTCCTCCTTACCTCTCAAGTTATTTGGTTGCGTTGCATTTGTCCATATTCCCTCCCATCAACGGTCTAAGCTTGATCCTAAGTCTCTCTAGTGTGTCTTTATTGGTTATTCTCCTACTCAACGTGGCTATAAATGTTATTCACCCTCTCTTCGTAAGGTCTTTGTCTCTATGGATGTCACTTTTTCTGAAAATGACCCTTTCTTCCCCTCGACTTCTCTTCAGGGGGAGATGGGAGTAGATGAAGATTAGTCATGGGAACCTACTGATGCCACGGTATTACCTCTAATTTTGGAAACAGGGGGAGCTACAGAATCCTCACCATCAGGAGCCTCCTCAAAATGGGGACAAGTTTATAGCAGGCGAAAGCCTCCTCAAAGTGTGAATAACCCAGAGCCTCTACACTGCCAGGATTCTGAACCATGTTCTAGTTCCAGCACCCCAATACTTGAGTGTCATGGTGAAAATGATCTACACTTGCCCATTGCTCTCAGAAAAGGTACTCGATCTTGTACTACTTATCCTATTTCTAATCATATTTCATATGGAAAGTTGTCCCCAGGGTTTCGTGCTTTCAATACTATGTTGGATAGTACAAAGATACCGAGAAATATACATGAGGCTCTCAATGATCAAAAATGGAGGGATGCTGTCTTTGAAGAAATGAATGCTTTAAAAAGAAATGGAACTTGGGAGATAATGACCCTACCCAAAAGAAAACAGGCAGTAGGATGCAAATGGGTGTTTACAATAAAATTCAATGCAGATAATAGCATCAACAGATACAAGGCAAGATTGGTTGCAAAAGGGTTTCACTCAGACTCATGGGATAGATTATCATGAGACTTTTGCTCCGGTTGCTAAAGTTAATACCATCCGAGTTCTCTTATCTCTTGCTGCCAATCTAGATTGGCCTCTGCAACAGTTAGATGTGAAGAATGCATTCCTAAATGGTGACTTACATGAAGAAGTCTATATGGATCCTCCACCTGGTTTTGAAAAGGGAAATGGATCAGTGTGTAAACTAAAAAAGTCTCTATATGGATTGAAACAGTCTCCCAGAGAATGGTTCGACAAATTCACACAAGCAGTCAAAAGAAGAGGCTTCATTCAAGCACAGACTGATCATACTCTCTTCCACAAACACTCTAAGGATGGTAAAATTGCTATTCTTATTGTATACGTAGATGATATAATTCTTACAGGTGATGATATTGAGGAATTGAACACCTTGAAGAAATTTCTAGCAGCTCAATTTGAACTCAAAGACCTTGGCACTCTCAAATATTTCCTTGGTATGGAAGTTGCTAGGAGCAAAACAGGCATCACTCTAACACAAAAAAAATATGTTCTAGATCTTTTGTTGGAAACAGGAATGTCAGGGTGTAAACCTGCTGAGACACCTGTGGAACCTAATACCAAGTTAGGTATTGAAGATGGGAATAAGGTGGATAAAGAACAATATCAGCGATTGGTTGGTAAACTAATCTACTTATCTCATACGCGTCCTGACATTGCCTTTGCGGTGAGTATGATTAGTCAATTCATGCACTCACCCAAGGAGAAGCATCTTAGTGCAGTCTATAGGGTGCTTAGATACCTCAAGAATACTCCAGGAAGAGGATTATTCTTTAAAAAGGGGTATAAAAGGACAATTGAAATCTACACTGATGCAGATTGGGCAGGCTCATCAGTAGACAGGAGATCTACATCAGGCTATTGCACCTATGTGTGGGGAAATCTTGTTACTTGGAGAAGCAAAAAGCAAACAGTGGTTGCAAGAAGTAGTGCTGAAGCAGAATTTCGAGCTTTATCTCATGGAGTTTGTGAAGGAATCTGGTTGAGAAGACTTCTTCAAGAGTTGAAGATTTCATATTCCCTACCAATA